TTTTTTTCGAGGAAGATTGGCCCTGTGCTCACAGCTGTTGCCAATCTTCCTCTTTTTTCTCCCCAAAGCCCTAGTACATAGTTGTGTATCATAGTTGTAGAGTTGTAGCTCTTCTATATGGGACACCGTCTCAGCATGGCTTGATGAGTGGTGAGTAGGTCCGAGCCCAGGATCCGAACTGGCAAACCCTGGGCCACCGAAAAAGAATGTGCAAACTTAACTTCTCCACCACTGGAGCTGGCCTCCTAAAGTTTTAACTTTTTTAATGATATAAGTAATATATTTCTTCATTCAAAACGTAATATTCCTTGGTTCCTCAAAAAGTTAAACACAGAATTACCACATGCCACAGCAATTCCACTCCTACGTATACACCAAAAAAACTGAATACAGGTGTTCAAATGAAAATTTGTACACAAATGTTCACAGAAGTACTATCCACAATAGTCAAGAGGTAGAAACAACCCTAGAAATGAACCATCATCATCTGCTGAATGTCCATCAACTGCTGAATGGATAAAAAAATATCATATATTCATATAATGGAATTTATTAATTTTATTCATATTATTCAGCCATAAAAAGAAATGAAGAACTAACACGTCCTACAACATAGATGAACCTTGAAAACATTAAGCTTAAATCAAAGAAGTCAGATACAAAAGCCACATACTGTATGATTCCATACGAAGTATCCAGAATAGGCAAATCCATAGAAACAAAAAGCAGATTAGTGGCTGCCAGGGGCAAGCGGGGAGGGCAAAATGGGGGAGTGGCTGCTTAATGGGCGCAGTATTTCCGTCTGGGGTGATGAAAATATTCTGGAACCATACAGTGGTAATGGTTGCACAACACTATGAATGTTGTGTACTGAATGTACTGAATTATACACTTTAAAATGGTTAAAATGATAAATTTTATGTTATATGAATTTCACCTAAATTAAAAAAAAAATGTAATGTTTATTCTAAGGACTTCCCTAACCACTCAAATCCTAGTTCCTTTTACTATTATCAGGTTGGTGTACATCTTACCATACTTTTTCTTTAAATTTACATACATACATGAGTACATTTATAATAATTTTTACACAGAATTATCATAGCGTTATTCCAATATATGGAAATGCTTTTTTATTCACTATAATTTTATTTCATTAATCATTCAATACTTTGGACATATTTCCATATTAATACATGGAGTTGCATTTTATTCTTTTAAGTGCTGCATACTATCCATAATGCAGTACATAGAAACACAACAGTATTTTTAACCACTTCCTTATTAACGATCATTTAAACTATTTCAAATTATTTGCTATGACTCTTCTGCGATTAACATTCTTCATATGCTTCTTTAGGTCAACATCCAAGTCCTGCCCACCACCTGTTTTTCTAGATAAAAGTGTATTGGGACAGCCATGCTATTATTTACGTATTATCTATGGCTGCTTTTGCAGTACCAAGGCAGAATTGAACAGGTGCATCACAGACCGTATGGTCTACACAGCCTAAAATATTTACTATCTGGCCCTTTACATAAAATGTTTGACAAACCCTGTTATAAAACATGGCAAAGGAAGGAACTTCCTAGTTACTTTTTACAAAGAAAGCATAACAAGAATACCGAAATACGACGACGACGATTTCCCATAACAAAAGAGAACTACAGATAACTCTCGCAAGTATTAATACAAAAATCCTAAAATAAAGTACTAGCAAACAGGAGTACATTAAAATAATAATACATCAAGACCAAGTAGGGTTTATTTAAGGTATGCAAGATGGTTCAGTATTAAGCAATCTATTACTATAATTCATTATAGTAATAGATAAGGGAAAACATTTATATGAATGGTTCCACAGAGACTGAAAAGTCATTGGACAAAAATCCATTGCTGATATTTTTTTTAATCAGTAAAATATGAATAGATATCTAACTCAGCTAAAAAGTAGAGTCATGCCTAATGAGGGTTAATGTTAAAATTATCTTCAGTAAAATCAAGAACAAGACAAAGATATCCCCTATTTCCAATATTTAACATTGTATAAAAGGTACTAACCAACGTAACTGGAGAGAAAGAAACCAGTGTTAAAAAAATTGAAAAGACATAAAGCCAACATTATTTTCATATGATATGACTGTGTATCTGAAAAATAGAAATATTCAACTGAAAATCTATCATGAATGACAGCAGAAATCAATAAGACAATGGGGTACAAAACCAACATGAAGAAATCTACAGCTTTCATATATACAACCTTCTACATACAAGATCTCACAGAAGAACAGGCACCATTTATAACATCAAACAAAAGATAATATATCTAGGAATAAGCTTACCAATGAAAGTGTAAAACCTAGATAAAGGAAACTCCAAAACTCCAAAAATTGATCAAAAAGAAAGGCCTCTCATGCTTCTTGGACAGGAAGAATATAACATGTTGCTTTTCCCCATATTAATTTATGAATTTAACACCCTGATAAAATACCAATTGATTTTTTTGGGAGGGGGAAGGTGGGCTAAATTTATTAAGTTCTAAATTCAGATAAAAAATTACACAAACAAGAATAGCCAGGAAAACCAAAAAAGAAAAGCAATGAAAGGGAATTAGCCTTAAATGATCTTAAAATATATTTTACATTTTAATTAAAACAGTGTGTACCAGCACACTGAATAAAGACCAATGGAACAAGAAAAAAAAGTACAAGAATGGACTCACATAATTAGGAAAATTCAGTACATACTAAAAGTGGCATTTTAAATCTAAGAAAGACAGATTTTTTAATAAATGAAATTGGAACTACTGGGTAGCCATCTGGAAGAAAAACTGAATCCACACACCAAGTTAAATTCCAAATAGATCAAAGGCTTAAATGTAAAAGTGCCTATGTAAAAGTACTAGAAGATTGAAAAATTCTTTGATAACCTTAGAAAGAACAAAGTTTCTCTGAATAATTATTCAAATTCAGATAAATAATTCAGATAAACATGACAACTTAAAAAAAACAACACTTCTGCAAGGCAAAAAAATGAAACATAAATAACCAAGAGGGAAAAAATAGTTGCAATTTACACAATAATCAGGGCAAATATGTCTAATATTTAAAGAGTTATTACTAATTTATAAAAGACCAACAACTAAATTTTAAAAATGGGTCAAAGATTTAAACAGAGAACTTACAGAAAAAGAAATACAAATAAAACTTAAACATTTGAAAAGATGTGCTCAACTTTACCAAAAATAAGAGAGAGATTAACTAAGACCCCAAACTGAGATCTTATGTTTTATCTATCAGATTGGTAAAAATCAAAAATTTGATAAGGTTGGCAAGGCTATAAGGAAAATAGGAGGTTTCATATTTTCTCTCTTTATATACTTGTTGATTTTTGAACCCTATGAATGTAATATCTATTC